TCAAGTGAGACCACTTGACCTTGAACTTCCAGCCCTCCTAAACTATGAGCCAAATAGGCCTTTTTGGGGGGAGCATTTTATTGCAGCAAGAAATGGGACCGATAACACCATTCTGACAGATAAGAGATGATGCATCACCATGGTTTAATTTTCATTTATCTGATGATATTTGAGATTGTATTCCTTTTCATACACTTGCTGGTCATTTATATGCACTTTTTAAAGGAAAGTCTATTCAATTTTATTGCCTTTTTTAAAACTCTTTCCTTATTTATTTATTTATTTGTTTATTTAAAAAAATATTTTTTAAATATTTTATTATTTATTCTTTTATGTGTATGAGTATATTGCCTGTATGTATGTGCACCCATGTCATACAGTGCCCATAAAGGTAGAAGAAGACGTTGGACCCCCAGAACTGGAGTTAGGGACGGTTGTTAGCCGTCACGTGGGTGCTGGGATTCAAACTCGGGTCTTCTACAAGAGCACTCAGTGCTCTTAACCACTGAGCCATCTCTCTAGCCCCTTTAAAAATTATTTTATGTGTATTAGTATATTGCCTACATGCATATAAGGGTACCCATGTCATGCAGTGCCCTCAGAGGACAGAAGAAGGCATCGGATCCCCTGGAACTGGAGTTATAGATGGTTGTTGGCCGCCATGTGCATGCTGAGAATTGAACCCAGGTCCTCTCCAAGAATAGTCAGTGCTCTTAACCACTGACTCATTTCTCCAGCCCCTTATTTACGTTTTTTGAGACAGGGTCTCATGTAGCCCAGGCTTGCCTCCAACTTGAGATCTAGCTGAGGGTGACCTTGAGAACTGATGGTCCTCCTGCCTTCTCCTCCACATGCTGGTGTTACAAGCATGCACCACCAAGCCCCGCTTCTCTCCTTACTGTCTGGGGGCTTTACAGAGGTCCAGGCAACATTCACCTGGGCCTTTTGGCTTCTGCTTTTGGCCAGTCATGCAGAACACCACCTCCAAATGAGCCCTTCTCAGCCCAGCAGTCTCTGATAACCCGCTTCTCCTTGCCTTCTGCAGGGTCCATGTTTGTGATTCTCAATGGAGAGTGAAAACACAGCTTCATAATGAAAACCAGCCCCCGTCGGCCACTGATTCTCAAAAGACGGAGGCTGCCCCTTCCTGTTCAGAATGCCCCAGGTGAAACATCAGAGGAGGAAGCTAAAAGTAAAAGACTCCTTGCCCAACAGGAGCCTGGTCAAGCACAGGCCTCCAAGGAGGCGGCAGAGTCCAGCTCTTCCAAGTTTCCAACTGGAATCAAGATTATTAACCACCCTACGATGCCCAACACTCAAGTGGTGGCCATCCCCAACAATGCGGATATCCAGAGCATCATCGCAGCACTGACTGCCAAAGGGAAAGAGAGTGGCAGCAGTGGACCCAACAAGTTCATTCTCATCAGTTGCGGGGGAGCCTCATCTCACCCTCCTGGACCCCAACCTCAAGCCCAAACCAGCAGTGATTCCAAGAGGACAGAAGTGATCACCGAGACACTGGGACCAAAGCCAGCAGTGAAGTGTGTGAATGTTCCTAGGCTACCAGGAGTCCTTCTGAGGGAAAGACAAGAGAGCTGTGGTATGTGGTCTATAAGACAAAGGGGTGTGGAGGCTGGTCTTCCCAGTGCTGTCTGAGTCAGTCATGTTGATGTCTGCCTAGAAAGGAATCTAAGAGGAACCAGTGCAAAGGCTTATTTTTCTACACCCTGACACCTTAAGCAGACCATCTGGGCACTGTTGAAAGGTTACAATAAAGTTGCCCTCTTTTTTTTTTTTTGTCTTTTTGAAGCAGGGTCTTCCTGTAGCCCCAGCGTCCTGGAACTCACTATGTAGACCAGGCTGGCCTTGAACTCACAGAGATCCACCTGCCTCTGCCTCCCAAGTACTGGGACTACAAGCGTGTGCCACCACGCCCGGCTTCTATTGCCCTCTATGTGGGAAAAGAATTTGTTGTTGGTTGGTTGTTGGTTTGATTTTTTTTTTTTTTTAATATTGGCGCTGTAAGGAAGTAAATCATCTTAATAAAGGAATAAACTGAAGCATGGGGAAGAAAAGTGAAGGTGTAGCTATCCAAAGTTTGCCTCGACAGATGCCTGAGGCTCTGTGTGGCTCACTGAAATGCAATTCCCTGCTCTTGAATTTCTCCTGAGGTCTACCTTGAAGCAGAATAAGAGTAACTTAGAGCCACAACAATTTACCATGTGTTCCCTGTCCCTAAGAATAGGGGCCTTGGAAGGGTTATCTCCAACCACCGATTTTGATGGAGCTACTGGGCATCTAAAGAGGCTGCTAATGGGGTCTTGGGTTGTTTCCCCTCTAGCTGGCAATGAGGCAGCAGGCTGCATGCTGGACAACAGCTTAACCAATATCCAGTGGCTTGGAAAGATGAGTTCTGACGGGCTGGGCTCCTGCAACATCAAGCAAGAGATGGAGGAAAAGGAGAATTGTCACCTGGAACAGAGTCAGGTTAAGGTGAACTGTTCTGTCACTCATTAGGGAAGTCAGAACCAGTGCAGGAGATTTCTAACTAGGGATATGGATCAAGGAGCTACAGAACATCCAAGTTCTGGTATTAGTGCTACTTAGTGCTTTTCTATATAACTTTTAATTTTTTAAGTACTGGAGATTGAACTCAAGGCCTTGCATATGGTAGGCAAGTGCTGTACCACTAAGCTACATCTTCAACCCCTTTATTTTTATTTTGAGAGAGGTTCTCACTTAAGGCTGACCTTGAACTTAAGTCCTCCTGCTTCAGCCTGTGAGTAGCTGAGATTACAAGTGTGTGCCACCACACATCACTCTAACTTCTGAGCTACTTTACTGTCTGGGATCTTTTACTCTTCCCCATCTGTGACACTTTGAGGGCAGATTCTGGCCCACTTTGTATTTCTATAGTATTGGGTTTAAGGACTCCTAGGCCTTTAGTAAGTACTTAGTAGATACTCAGGAATTGATTAACAGAACTTTAAAATGGCATCCCAACAATGTGAGCTGATTACAGCATTGTTAACAAGACAGTTTTATTAGGAGATAAACTGTAATATTAATAGCAAAGTTAATTAGATATGAATTTTATTCATTTAATGGTTTATACAGATGTATATATAAGCAAATATTAATTAGATATTAATTAAACTATATACTTATACAGTTGTACTTTGGGTTTTTTGTTGTTGTTTTTTTTTCCTTTTGGTCTTTTTGAGACCACTACATAAACCAGGCTGGCCTTGACCTTACCAAGGCCTGCTTCTGCCTCCAAGTGCTGGGATTAAAGGCCCAGCACAACTGTGCTTTATAAAGTTATATCTCAGATTTTAAAACTGAATGATCGGATCTTAAGACTTAGCCAAATGTGTCCTTTGAAGCATTTCTCCCATACTCTTGAGACTTTCGCTTGTACAAATGTTGAAATGAGGTGGGCTTATTCACAAATGGAACCAGGACCTAATTCTTTAACCTGCAAGTCTGAAATGGGCATGGATTCATGCAAATCATTGGGTATGCTAGAGATATTTCAACTGAAAAGGATCAGGCTTGCTTTTTGTTTTTAACACAGGGTTTCATGTAGCCCAGGCCATCTTCGTACTGGCTCCATAGCCAAGGATGCTCTTGAACTTCTAATCATCTTACTCCACCTCCCCACCACTGGACTTGCAGATATGTGCTACCAGGCCCCATTTTTTTTTTTATATGGCTCTGGGGATTAAACTCAGGCTTCATGCATGCTGAGCAATACTTTTCCAGCTGAGCTATTTCTCTAACCTTCAGACTTTCCCTTATTATCATGTAATATCTTCAGCAAACGATGGCAATGAAGCAGTTTCCTAATTGGTTGGGGATCTGGACTAAGATCCTTCCTAATCTTAATGTCTAATTCCACCAGGAAATGGTCTCAAATAAGTTTGTTTCTAGTGTATCCTAGGGGATGTTCTCAGTGGACTGGGGTGGGGAATGGTTCTATGGACACTTCTGTGTCATTCTCTATTCTCTTTCCCTTTGGCTTTCCTTGGCCCACAGGTTGAGGAGCCCGTGGGAGCATCAGTGTCTTGGCAGGACTCTGTGTCTGAGAGGCCACCTTACTCTTACATGGCCATGATACAATTCGCCATCAACAGCACTGAGAGGAAGCGTATGACCTTGAAGGACATCTATACTTGGATTGAGGACCACTTCCCATATTTTAAGCATATTGCCAAGCCAGGCTGGAAGGTATTATATCCTTTAACAACCAAAGTCAAGGTCATTCTGGCCCAAGTGTTTCTTGCACTGGGCTGCAGATTGTCTGGTGCTCTGGGCCAGCAAGGACATGCAAAGGGTCACTGTAAGCAGAATGCCTTGGACTGTGACTTGAACCTACCAAATACAGGCAGTGTCATCCGTTAGAGTTCTGAGGCTACTTTGTGCCTTGCTACCTAAGGTTTGAGAAAGACTTCAGTGCAGCAGCAAGCATTGTCACACACAGTTTTATGTACTGGCAGCTGGAATGGCTGAGTACTTTTATGACAAGGTCTTAATGAAAAAAAAAAAAAAATCACTGAGCCTTGTGACTTCAAGATTAATTTCCAGTAACATCTAGTGGCCAGGGATTTTTCTTTTTCTTGTTTTTGAGACAGTCTCACTACGTGGTCTAGGCTGGCCTCAAACTTAAGAGTCTTCCTCTCTCGACCTCCAGAGTGACTGTGATTGCAGGTGTGCCACCACAAAAGGGCAGGCTTTTGTCTTCATTTTATGCATGGAAACTCTGAAAGTCAATGTTCTGTATATAACCCAGACTGACTTTGAACTCTCAGTTGTCCTGCCTCAGCCTCCTGAGTCATGGGATTAGGGGCATGGACCACCATGTCCAGCCACAGAAACTGTTTTTTTTCCTTAATGATACTGCTGTACCTTTAGCCCTTTCTCATAGACTGTGCAGTGAGTAGTGGTCTTTTCATTTCTCCTCCAAAGGACCTTGGTAGATAGAGTTCTAGAAAACACAGTTCTTGGCTGTCCAGCTTAGTCTGTGTGCATTCTTCCTACACAGATGTGGAAGCAGAAGTTTCAGGCATAAAGTTCCTACATAGATTTTTTTTCACCTCAATCCTGCACCATGGTAGAGAGCAGGAATAGAGAGGGAACCCTCCAACCTAGGGCCTTTTGAGCCTGGAGACAGGCCAGATCTCATGTTTTGTTTTGTTTGTTGTTTTTTAAAAAAAAAATTTTTTTTAATTTATTATTTTTATTTTATGTGTATGCGTGTATTGCTTGTGTGTAGGTAAATGTACCTGTGCCCTCGGAGGACAGAAGAGGTTGTCTGATCCCCTGGAACTGGAGTTACGGACAGTTGTTAGCTGCCATGTGGGTGCTAGGATTCGAACCCGGGTCTTCTGCAAGAACAACCAGTGTTCTTAACTGCTGAGCCATCTCTCCAGCTCCTGTTTGTTGTTTTTAATCACCACCGGGAGGAATTGCACCAGTCTTTATACCTAGGCTTTTAACCTATGGCTGAGGTTAGCTCTACAGTGTGGCCTATCAGGAAGGGAGTTGCCAATAGGCAAGGTTACAAGAACTCTGTGGAACATAGTGGGAGACACTCTGCAGACTCGCCCAGTTCACTTCCAAGACCATGTTTCCAGAGCTAACTGAACTGATAACTGGTCTTTCTCCTTTCAGAATTCCATTCGCCACAACCTTTCTCTCCATGACATGTTTGTTCGGGAGACATCTGCCAATGGCAAGGTCTCATTCTGGACCATTCACCCCAGTGCCAATCGCTACTTGACATTGGACCAAGTGTTTAAGGTGAGTGTCCTGGCTTTGTCTATAGCACCAGAACTGGAGACCCGAGAGCTACCTGAAAACTTGTTCCTGAAAAGGAACAAGTTTTCCTTGTGACATTCTTATTTGATGAAGGGAGAGTTAGAGGCCTGTCCAGCCAATGACTTGCATAAAACTCTCTGAATTGAGTACAGTTAACAAAAACTGACTGACACACTTGTGCTAGACTGGGTATAAAGAGGACTGGTCTCATCCAAAACAGGACAATCTTTTTCCAACTCCCCTGTAAATTAGACACTTGTACATACAGCTTCCAGACCTCTCTCTTCAGGTTCCTGATTCAGCATACTGAAATGCACCTATGGGTGTGTGTGTGTGTGTGTGTACATGCATGTGTGGAAGCATGTGTATGTGTGTGTGTGTGTACGTGCATGTGTGGAAGCGTGTGTGTGTGTGTGTGTGTGTGTGTGTGTGTGTGTGCATGCATGCATGTGTGGAAGCCAAAGGAGGACATTGGGAATCCTGCTTTATCATGGTTCTTGTTTCCTTGTATGTGTGTGTGTGTGTGTGTGTGTGTGTGTGTGTGTGCATGCATGTGTGGAAGCCAAAGGAGGACATTGGGGATCCTGCTTTATCATGGTTGTTTCCTTAGGATAGGGTCTCTCATTGAACCTGGTGGCCAACAAGTCCCAGCAATCTTCCTATCCCCAACACTCCTGGGGTTATAGGCGTGTGCATGGCATGCCCAGCTTTTTATTTTTAATGTGGGTGCTGGGATCTAAATTCAAGTTCTTATGCTTGTGTAGCAAATGCTTTTACCCCCTGAGCCATTTCTCCAGCCTCTGTAATTTGTATTTTCAACAAGCATCTCAAGTGATTCATATAGAGAAGGTATGAGAAGTACTTCTTCCAATCTAGTGACTAGAAATGCAGCCACCAGAGCATGCTTTCAGAAAGAAGTTGTTGTCTGGGGACTTCTGAGTGAGTGCCCCTAAAGTGACTGTTCTGGAAGGGACTGTATCCATGGTGTCCTTCAGCACCCATTAAATAGGTTTCTTCCCATTCTGGATAGATTCACCACATTGGTGGTAACTTCATCTCATTTCTCTCCACCTCCAGCCACTGGACCCAGGGTCTCCACAATCGCCCGAGCATTTGGAATCAGTAAGATTCTTTTCCTCTAGCTCGGGGCTTGGCCTTATGTTTCCTTTCACTGCTCAGCATGGCTTTAGTGGGCAGAAATAAGCTACGATCGGGGAGGGACTATGGCCCTGTGGCTGCAAGCCCTAAACACAGCACCACAAAGGTGTGCTGAGCACAGAGCAGGCGCTGCAGGAGGAGCTGCCACTGCAAGGACAAGTGCATGGGATGGGCCTCGCAGGCAGCAGCAGTCTGCTCTCTCAGCCTGGCTTTTCTTTGTCTCTCAGATAGCTTCTGCATCCCTTGTGGGTGGTGAGGATCACGGGTGAGGTGATAGCACTGTCCTGCTGTCCTATGTCTCTTGCTGTCCACCTTTCCACTAAACATGGCTTGGCAGATTGTGCCTCCCTGCATCCATCCCTCAGACTGGCTTTTTCTTTCGGGCTGTTGGTTAAGTCAAGTTCATCAGCTCAAGCTGGTGGGTTCTGCTATCCCCTCCCTTTCCCTTATCAAATCAGGTTTCTTTCTCTCCCCACAAGCAGCAGCAGAAACGACCCAATCCTGAGCTCCGCAGGAATGTGACCATCAAAACTGAGCTTCCACTGGGCACACGTGAGTATGAGAGCGGCCTCAGGCCTGCCCAGTTCTGGTTCTGAGGCATGTCTTCAGGCTCTGTCTCTAACTCAGAGGGATCTGAGTCTACAATTGAGCAGAGCTTCTGAACTGGGAATTGGGGAACCCCTGCCTTGCTGCCTCTAATTTCTCCTGCTTCTTCCTAGGACGAAAGATGAAGCCTCTGCTTCCACGGGTCAGCTCGTACCTGGTACCCATTCAGTTCCCAGTGAACCAGTCCCTAGTCTTGCAGCCCTCCGTGAAGGTGCCATTGCCCTTGGCAGCTTCACTAATGAGCTCAGAGCTCGCCCGCCATAACAAGCGAGTCCGCATTGCCCCTAAGGTGAGCATCCTGTTTACTGTGAAGAGGACTGCACTCAGTAAGTGTTAGACCTGCAGCTTGTGAAGCACATTGTGAAGGGTTCCTTGAGAAGCTTATCGATTTGGTTAGGTAGACAAAGCATATCACCATAAGAAAACTGAGTAGCTTTATAAGTGATCAAGAGAAGTTTGGATTGTTAGTGTCAGAAGGTCTGTAGGTTAATAAAACAGACAAGGATGATTATTGTGATAGGTGGGCTGAGGAGGAGACAGGTCCTAGAAAGAAGTCAGTGTGGGTAAGCCAGTGGGTGTGGAAAGGGCAGACTACTTTGCACTTGGTCACTGTCATTCAAGGTACTCAGGCCCAGCTCCCCATGTATTTAGGGTTCAGTAATTCTTCATGCAATTTCGGGGAGGGGATGCCCTGTGTCTTTTGTTTTTCCCACCAGATGTCAGTAGCACCCACAGATTGACAGTTAAAATACTTCTGGACATTACTAGATGTCCTAGGAAGACAGTGTTGGTGTGGTGGGGTAGGTTGGTTTTGGGAATTTGTTTGTTTTTGAGGGGTTGGTTTGGTTTGATTTGTTTTGTTTTGTTTGAGATAGGGTCTCTTGCAGGCCAGGCTAGCCTCAACTCACTAAGTTGCTGAGACTAATCTTGAACTCCTGGTCTTTAGCCATCTACAGTGAGGTGGAAATGGCATGGACTCCAGTGGGTTTGCTTTTTTTTAATCAGTCAATTAATTAATTAACTGGAGACACAATCTTATTATGTAGCCAGACCCTGGTTTGGTTTTAATACAGCCTTTCACTTTCTTCTCGACAGTGCTCTTTCTTTTCTTCCCATCTTTACCCACATCACACTCGCTCCCCAGATAACACATTAGCCAAGGGAGGTGGTGCATGCCTGTTGTTCCAGTTACTCCAGAGGCTAAAGCAAATCCAGGTGTTATAGTGCACTCCTGTAATCCTTGCACTCAGGCAGAGGCTGGAGGATCACATCAAGTTCAAGGCCAGCCTGATCGATGTAGCAAGCTCCAGGCCAGCCATGGCTACTTAGTGAGACCCTCTGTCCGAAAACAAAACAAAAGAACAATGAAAAGGGGGCAGGGGTCACTTGCCATGTAAGCATGAGAACCTGAGTTCAAATCCCAAGAACACACATCAAAGCTGGGTGCATAGAGTAAACATTGGTAATCCTAGTTCTTTAAGCAGGTAGGAAGTAGAAACAGGAATCTCTGGAAGCTCTGGAGCCAGCTAGCCTAGAGTATACAAGAAAACCAGAAAGAAATCCTTTCAAGGTGGAAGACAATGCCAAGGTTTTTCTCTGACTTCCACACATGCGCCATGGGATGTCTGTACACACATACACACGCACGCACGCACGCATGCAAGAGGGGAGAGGAGGGGGAGAGAGAGAGAGAAAGATTGAGAGATACTATGGCAGAAGTATCATTTGAGTATTTGAGTTCTGGAGTTTGGGGCCAACTGAGCAACATAACAAGACATAACGGGTCACTTGGCATAGTTCTAGTTCATGGCATTGTTGATTTATTTTTTTGTTTGCTTTTTAAGCTAAGTCTCCTATATCCCATGCTGGCCTCAAAACACACTAGAGAGCTGAGGATGACCTTGAATTTGATCCTCCCACCTTCACCTTCTCAGTAGTGGGAATATAGCCATGTACCACTATGCTCTTACTGACAGGGCTGGCTGCTCAGTAAGCTCCAGGGACCCACCTGTATGCCTTCCCCAGCTGAGGGATTACAGGAGCATGCTACCACACCTGGCTTTTTACATGGGTGCTATGGATCTGAACCCAGGTCCTCAAGTACTTTACCAACTGAGCCATCTCTCTAGCCCCTCATTGCTTTTTAATGTTCACATATTCCATGATACAGCCATATCAAAAAATTTTCAGCCATTTTCATGAGAACATTTTGTTTCTTATCTTATGAATAACACTGCAATAAATATCTTTTTTTTTTAGCTTTTTATGTGTATGAGTGTTTTGCCTGCATGTAAGTGTACCTATATGTGCAGAGGCCAAAAGAGGGTGTCGGATCCCCTAGAACTGGAATTATGGATAGTCGTAAGCTACCATGTAAGTGCTGGGAATTGAACCTCTACAAGAGCAACCAGTGCTCTTAACTGCTGAACCATTTATCCACCCCCCAATAAATATCTTTTTATTAGCATTTTTATGTTCATGAGATTGAATGCTGACATGAGATTGCTGAATGAAAGGTATTTTAAATTTTACTAAATATTGCTGGGCTCTAGTCTGCAAAAGCGGTGATAATTCACATTTCACAGGAATGTATGACAAGATCTTTATCTCTGCCAGCAATTGGTATTATTAGTCTTGTTAATATTTTCTGGTCTAATGTGTATAACCATTGTCTTTGTTAAATTTTTAAAATTTAAATTTATTTATTATTATTTTTAAATTTATTATTTTTTTTAATTTTAAATTTATTATTTTTTTTGTATGTATATGAGTATTTTGCCTGTATGTATGTAAGTACACCAGTGTATGCCAGCAGAGGGCATTGGATCCCCTGGAAGTGGAGTTATAGATGGTTGTTAGCCCATATGTGGGTGCTGGGAACCAAACCCGGGTCCTCTACAATAGAGTAGCCAGTGCTCATAACTACTGAGCCATCTCTTCAACCCCATCATTGTTTAATTTTCTCTTTTTTTTTTTTAATTTCATGTGTATGAGTGTATTGCCTGCATGTGTGTAAGTACGCCCATGTTATGCAATCCCCTCCAAGGTCAGAAGAGGATGTCAGATCCCCTGGAACTGGAGTTAAGGACAGTTGTTAGCTGACATCTGGGTGCTTGGAAATCAAACCCAGGTCCTCTGCAAGAGCAGCCAGTGCTCTTAACTGCTGACCCGTCTCTCCAGCCCCAATTTTGTCTCCTTTTATCAAAAGTTTGAACACCTCATTATGTGCAGTCACTTAGATTAGTCTTCTATGAATTCTTTTTTTTTTAATCTGCTTATTAATTGCTTCTTTACAAATTGTCCATTTTGCTACAGGCCTTTTTATTAATTTGTTTTATAGTTTCTGGACTTCCATCTTGATTAAGGCTACCCACCTTCAGCTTGTGCTTCCTAGATTCTCTCCTATATATCCTGAGATGTGTGCGTGTATGTGCGTGCATGCTTTTTTGATTTTTTGAGACAGGGTCTCCCTGTAGTCCCAGCTGGCTTGGAACTCTCTGTGTAGACCAACCTTGGCCTCCATATCACAGCAATACACCTGCCTCTGCCTCCTGAGTGCTGATGAGATTGAAGGTATTTATTTATTTATTTATTTATTTATTTATTTTTGGTCTTTTTGAGACGGGCTCTCCCTGTAGCCCCAGCTGTCCTGGAACTCACTATGTAGACCAGGCTGGCCTTGAACTCACAGAGATCCACCTGTCTCTGCCTCCCGAGTGCTGGGGTTAAAGGTGTGCACCACTATTCCCGGCGAAGGTATTTATTTTTATTTTATGTGTTTTGCCTGCATTTATATAAGTGTACCATGTGCATGCAGTGCCCATGGAGGCCAGAAGAGAGTGTTGGATTCCCTGGAAGTTACAGATGATTGTTAGTCACCATGTGGATGCTGGAAGCCAAACCCCAGTCCTCTGCTCTTAACCACTGAGCCACCTCTCCAGCCCCAGGTTTTAATTTTTAGACGTTTTTAATATCAGTTCAATCTCCAGCACCATACAAAATAGTCTTTATATATGGTGTGAATAGGTATCAAATTTTATTTACTTTCTTTTTTTTTCATTTTTATCTTATACGTATGAGTGTATTGCCTGCATGTATGCATGTATGTGAGCGCACCCATGTCATGCAATGCTGTGGATGTCAGAAAAGGGCTTCAGATTCCCCTGGAACTGGAATTAAGGATGGTTCATAGTGGCCATGTGGGTGCTGGGAATCAAACTGGGGTCCTCTGCAGGAGCAATCAGTGCTCTTAACCACTGAGCCATCTCTACAGCCCCTCAAATTTTATTTTCTGTCATGGGGATATGGATCATACAAGCATCACAGTAAGCACTCTCATCTTTTTTTTTAATGCTACAGATCAAACCCAGTGCCTTGCGTTTGCCAAGTATATGCTCTACCATTGAGCTATATATATCTCCTGCCCCAATGCTCTTCACCTCTTTCCTCCAGAATTAAACTACTGCCATCATCTTTTACTACATACTGCAAAAAATTTTAAGACTTTAGAGACATGAGATACCAACATAGTGGCATGCACCTGTAATCCCAGCTCTCAGAAAGCTAAGTTAGGAGGATCATGCATTCATTCAAGGCCAGTCTGGGCTACATAGTAAGACCCTGTCTTAAGAGGACCAGCAAGATGGCTCAGTAGTAAATGTACCTGCTACCAAGCCTGAGACCCACATGGTAGAAGGAGAAAATCAACTTTTGCAGGTTGTCCTGCCAACACCCCACCCCCCCTTCCAAGCTCTGGCCATAGACATACACAAATAAGTAAATGTTTAAGAAGGAATTAAAGCCGGGCACGGTGGCTCACGTCTTTAATACCAGACTTGAGAGGCAGAGGCCAGTCTGGTCTACATAGCAAGTTCAGGGCAGGCCAGCTGGCGCTACAGGGAGACTCAGAGAGTGAGAGAGAGAGGGAGAGAGAGAGAGAGAGAGAGAGAGAGAGAGAGCTGCAGATATACCTCAGTGGTAGAGCTGTACCAATATGTACAAGACCCTGGATTCAATTGCCAACACCACAAAAAATTAAAAGACAAGAGGAAAGAGGACCAGCGTCAATATGTCAATTATCATGATTCTGTGTCAGTGGGTCAAACATGAACCCTTTTTCTTTGTCTCTACTTCCCTTTCAGGTGCTGCTATCTGACGAAGGCATAGCCCCACTCCCCACTGCAGGAACAGTGAAGGAGGAGAAGCCTGGGCTTGGAGAAGGGCTGTTGCCTTTGCTTCCTGTTCAGTCCATCAAGGAGGAAGAAATCCAGCCTGGGGAGGACATGCCACACTTGGAGAGGCCTATCAAAGTGGAGAGCCCTCCCTTGGAAGAGTGGCCCTCCCCGTGCACATCGATGAAAGAGGAGCTGTCCAACTCCTGGGAAGATTCTTCCTGCTCTCCTACTCCAAGGCCCAAGAAGTCCTACAGCGCACTCAAATCCCCAGCCCGGTGTGTCTCAGAAATGCTGGTGATTAAGCGAAGGGAGAAGAGGGAGATGAGTCGGTCTCGGAGGAAACAGCACCTGCAGCCGCCCTGTCTGGATGAGCCCGAGCTGGTCTTCTCAGAGGGTCCAAGCACACTGCAACCAACCATGGAGCCCCTACTCCTGGCAGAGTCCTCGGAGCCTATGCCCCAGCTCAGCTGCCCTCAAGAGGAGGGAGGACCTTTCCAGACCCCCATCAAGGAGACACTGCCCATCTCCTCCACCCCTAGCAAGTCCATCCTCTCCACTGAGTCCTGGAGGCTCACACCCCCAACCAAAGTTGGGGGGCTAGATTTCAGCCCAGTACGAACCCCCCAGGGTACCTTTGGCCCCCTGCTTGACTCCCTGGGACTGATGGAGCTGAGCACTACACCACTGAAAAGCGTTCCCCTCTTTGACTCACCCCGAGAGCTCTTCAATTCAGAACCCTTTGACCTCGCCTCCAACCCCTTTAACAGCTCTTCTCCCCCACATCTAGAGGTCCCTAAGCCAGGCTCCCCAGAGCCACAGGTCCCCAACTTTTCAGCCAACCGTTCTCTCACAGAAGGCCTGGTCTTGGATACAATGAATGACAGCCTCAGCAAGATCCTTCTAGACATCAGCTTCCCTGGCCTGGAGGAGGACCCGCTGGGCCCTGACAACATCAACTGGTCTCAGTTCATGCCCGAGCTGCGGTAGAGGCAAGGCCTTGCACTTGCCTTTGCTGCTCAAGCTGTCCACCATTCTGGTGCTTACGTGACTAGACAGTCCAAGGCTCTGTGTACTCCAACACCCTGTGGGGGAAGATAGCAGGCAGGGATTGTGCTACGTTCCCTGGCCTAATTATGCCAAGGTAGTAGTCATGTCTTAGCCACTGCTTGGATCTATGCGATGGTGGGTTCTGGTCCCTGTCCTACCAGAGAATCTGAGTCCTGCACTCTCCCTCCTAGGAGCTGAAGGGTGGGAATGGCAGAGGCAGAATGGTGAGAAGGGATTAGGAAGTTCCCAGCAGTCTCCCCACTGCTGGCAGGACAGCCCTTGTAAATGGTGTGTTCTCCAAATTATCCTCTAATTATAAACATAAGCTTATTTCCTTAGATCAGTATCTAGAGACTGCCAGGGTGGGTCAGATGACGGGGGTGCACGGTTTGCTTCTGTATGTCACTTTTGGGTTTTTGAGGGGGAAGGGCCTGCAGTGCAGCTTCTTTCACACCTAGGGGTCCTGGCTCAAGGGCTGTTTCCTGTAGGCATCCAGACATAGAGGTCTGTTTGCCAGGATCTCTCTCTCATTGTCCTGCCCTCATGCTTCCCTATGTTTCCAAGCCAGCTGTCTTGTAAGAAGAAATCCTGCTTTAAAAGGTCTCTCATGTCTGGTTGAGTTGAATTTGGGTGTAGGTGGACAGGTGCACCTGAAGCAAAGTGTGGGTACTCACATGAGCCCAGTTAGGTGTTTCTCTGATAATGTTCCTAATCATGCCAGGGAGCCTAGTATGGATGAGAACTCAGGCTGAGGCCTGAGAAGGTGGAGGTGACCCCCAACCTGCCTGGCTTCCTTAGCATGCTTGTACCTTAGCTTTGCAAAGAGCCTCCCTATGCCCCAGTATGTGAGCTAGCTCAAGAACACTACTGTAACTGCCTACTGAATAAAACCCAGGGTGGCACTGCTGGTCTCTGGTCTGCTGGTATCCTGAGGGATTGAGGGAAGAGATGGTGGTAGAGATAGTGGTGATGAACAGGCAAAGCCTGCAGCTGCTTGGAGCAGCCCTTGAGGAAGAGTACAGTTTTCACATGTATCCCCTCTCACACCCTTTCTGACTGAAATTGCTAGTTTTGTCTGGTATGGTAGTGCATACCTGCAATCCCAGCACTTGGGAGGTAGAAGCAGGATTGCAGGGTCATCTTCAGCTACATAGCAAGTTTGAAGCCAGCATGGACTACATGAGACCTTGTCCAAAGCAACAATGAAAATTGCCAATCTGGGTGTGGTGGCGCATATCCATAATCTGAGCGCTTGGGAAGTAGAGGCAGGAGGGTCTGAAGTTTATGGTTATTCTCAGCTATATAGTTCAAGATCAGCCTGTACTACATAAGATCCTATCTCAGACTAGTTTCCCATTGCTGCCCTGCACTGTTCACCTCTTGTCTGCCATCTCGGACCTTGTTCCTTGGGACCTAGGCATGCTGGTTGACATAAGCCTTTGATGCTGCCTCAGTAATAGCAGCAGCTGCACTTGACCCCCACCATTTCCCCAACATTTGGACAGATGGACCCATTGCAACTGTCTCATAGCCCCAACCCTGGGCCTAGAAGCCAGCCTGCTCTCCCTGTGCCTTCCTAGGAAAGGCCATTCCAGAAGCAGTTCCTGTTACCATGTTTTGAAATCAGAACTGACAACTCACCCCCTGCCTGTCTCACCTGAAAGGCAACAGACTGAAGAGCCTCCCAGACTGGTAAGGGCCTCCCAGCCCTTACCTCACCAATCAGGGAGCATCACCATAGCAACCCTTCCAGCAAACAATGGTGCCAGAAAGGCCCTTTGACCCAAAGCCTCCCCTCCTAGCTCTGAGGCTCAGAGGAAGAATGGCTAGCAGCTCGCAAAGATCCTCCCGAAAGCCAGGCATGAGGGACGAGAGAGCCAGAGAGCCTCTCCTGAAGGTAGGGAAGGGTTCAGTTCTGCAGCCTGCAGGGCTGGCGGCTGTCCTGGCTGAGTAGAGCATGCTTCTGGTTCTTAAGCTGTCCTCCACCCCACAGAACAAAAAGGAGGTGCTTGGTTAACACTGGTTGAATAGCCCTTATCCGAAGGGCTTCTGACCAGCAGTGTTTTGGATTTGGGGTTTGTTTTTGGATTTTAGAGTGCTTGCACGGACATAATGAAATCTCTTGGGATGGGAATCAAATCTCAACACAAAATTCCTTCATGTTTCATACGTACTGTCTACACAGCCTGAAGATTGTAATTTCAAGTAGTATTTTAGGTTGCCTGTGATTTGAAGGCTGATCACATAAACTCAGATATGGAATTTCCTACTTGTGACATCATGTCCTGCTCAGAAAAAATTCAGATTTTCAGCATTTTAGATTTTCCATTTTCAGATTAGGATTTTGTGTGTGTATGTGTATGTGACAGGGTCTTGTGCCCAGGGTAGATTAGGTGTGTTTAATATGTGTGTTATCTCTCAGACTCCCCAGATCCCCACCCCAAGTGTGGTCTTCTACAAATGACAGAGGGCCAAGTGCAGTGAGGCATCTTGTAATTCCAACATTTAGGAGTACAAGCAGGAGGATTCTGCATTGCAAGTATGAGGCCAGCTGGGTCAATATAGTGAGCTCCAGGACTACAAAAGAGACCTTGTCTTCCCAAAACCAAAAAGAAGGAAGTGGGGAGAAAGAAAAGAAAGAATGCTGGTTGTGGTGCCTTACTTAGGATGTGCTAGAGAGAACAGGAGATGGGGAGGGGAGAAAGATTAGATAGACAGGTGGCTTAGTGGGTACAGGCACTTGCCACCAAGCCTGACAACCTGAGTTCCATCCCCAGAGCTGACGTGACAGAAGGAGAGAACAGACCCCCAGGTTGTCCTCTGACTTCCATACCTGTGCACACACATACAAAATATGCACTTTTTAAGAAAGATGACTTTTAGGGGATGAGGCTGAAGAAACTGTTGGGAGTGAGGGAGGAACTTTTTTTGAGTAAGGTCTCTGTAACCCCAGCTGGCCTGGAACTCTGTTATATAGACCAGGCTGGCCTTGGTCTCACAGAGATCTACCTGCCTCTGCCTCCAGAGTACTGGGTTTAAAGATATATATCACCCATACTGCTGGGGAGGAACATTTTCAAAAGAGATTTCTGTCCTAGTCAAACTATGAATATGTTCTCTAGATGGAAGGCTGTTTCACTCAGCTGAGCATGCTGAAGATGAACACAGTTCAAGCCTCTGCTCTCTTACATAATTGAGACCCTGTGTGAATTCCTTACTGACTCATCTGAGATAGAGACTGTTGGTCATCTTCCAATTGTTGTGACCAAAATACCTGAGATAAACAACTTAAAGGTTTACTGGGGCTCATGGGCTGAGGTTTTAATCCATGGTCACTTGGTCTTGCTGCTCTGGACCTATGGCAGAGCATGGGCAGAGCAGGCTGCTCACCTCATGGCCATTGAGAAGCAAAGAGACAGAAAGGGGCCTGGGTCCCACTACCCCCTTCAAGAGCATGCCCCCAGTGGCCTAACTTCTTCCAGCAGGACCCACTTCCTAAGGTTCTGCCACCCCATAATCATACTTCAGGGGGCACCAACTTTGTAACAAATGTGCTTTTGAGGGACACTTATCTAAACCATAGTAGAGTTTGGATATTTGCTCATGGAGTCTTGAGGGAGAGAGCACAGTGTTAATATGATACATACTTTGTGGAGGATAGGACACAGAAAAGGTGAGGATGCTTCTAGACTTACTTGCCTTTTTATTTTTATTTTATTTTTTTTCTTTTTGAAGCAGGGTCTCCCTGTAGCCCCAGCTGTCCTGGAACTCACTATGTAGACCAGGCTGGCCTTGAATTCACAGAGATCTGCCTGCCTCTGCCTCCCAAGTGCTGGGACTACAGGCGTGTGCCACTATGCCCAGCTCTTGTCTTTTTAAAAAAGTTATTTTATTTCTTATTTTTATTTAATGTGAGTGCATTGCCTGCATGTATGTAAGTGCACCCATGTCATGCAATGCCCATGGAGGTCAGAAGACGGTGTCAGATTCCCCTGGAACTGAAGTTACAGATGGTGACACACACCTTCAATCCCAGCACTCAGGAGATCTCTGTGAGTTTGAGGCCAGCCTGATCTGCATAGGGAGTTCTAGGTCAGCTGTCTTTTTTTTTTTTTAAAGCAAACTTAAGGATTTATTTTAACCCAAATGAACAGTCCGTTTCAGCAGCAAGAGCTTGAGGCAGCTGTTCCGCATTGCATCCACAGTCAGGAAGCTGAGAGTGATGAATGGTAATGCTCAGCTCACTTTCCCCTTTTTATTCAGCCCACCCCCAGCCAATAGAATAGTGGCACCTACAGTTAGGGTGGCTCTTCTCAGCTCAATTAGCTTAATGTAGAGAATCCCTCACAGGTGTGCCCAAAGGCTTGCCTCCGAGTTGATTCTAGATCCTATCAAGCTGACAGTCAACATTAAGAGTGATAGCTCAGCTGGTAAACTGCTTGCTGTGCAAGCATGAGGACCAGAGTTCAATCCCCAGAACCCACATGAAAAAGCTTTGCATGGTGGCACACACTTGTAATCCCAGGACAGGGGAACCAGAGACAGGCTGATCCTTCAGGCTTGATGGCCAGTGTAGCTAAGTCAGTAAGCTCCAGGTCAATGAGAGACTCTCTTCCTCAAAAAAACAAAACAAGGTGGGGGCTGGAGAGATGGCTCAGTAGTTAAGAGCACTGGCTGCTCATGCAGGTCCAGGGTTTGGTTCCCAGCACCCACATGGCTGCTAACAACCATCTGTAACTCCAGTTCCAGGGGATCTTTTGTGCTCTTCTGGCCTCTGCAGGCATTGCACAACACGGTTGCACTTCCATACATGCAGGCAAAACACTGATACACGTAAAATTTAAAAATAAAACAAGGTGGATGGTTCCTGAGGATCAGCATCCAGGATTGTCTCCCAGCCTATACATATGAACAAGTGCAGGGTCACACATAAACTTCTGATGACGGTGGGAATGGAGAGATGCCTCCTTTTGGAAGCTATCCAGGTGCATCCTGAGTTGGAGGAGGTTGGCAGCTTGTGTCTGGAAAGGAGAGCCAGCGCCTCTGCAGCTCCCTGTGCCCCTGCTGGCATGGCCACCCAATTTTTTTTTCCTCTCCCTAGATGCTCAATGCCAGTGAATCCCTTCCAACCAACCAAACGCGGGTTCAGCGTGAGTTCCTCCTCCCCGACGAGGCCAAGGATTTGCCTGGCTTCAGTCGGCAAGTCTACCACCAGCTGGCGGTGAAGCAGCCACCCTGCACAGAAATCAAGTTCAAGGTGCGTAACCATGCACTCTACCCTTGGAAAGATACAGGCCAGCACACCTGGGGGTTTCACACATGGCTGGAAGTCAGCCGTTTGCCTGCCACCTTCCCAGAGAGGCCCAATGTATCCTATGACAGCAACGTCTGGCGCTGGCTGACCCACTCCAAAGCTCACAGCCTCCCCACAGCAGAGCCTCCCATCCCCCCACCCTCCTGGATGGGCCCACACACCTTCCTGACCTTCATCAGGGCCACCCCCATCTTCTTGGACTTAAAGCGGAAGAACCAGGTGATGGCAAGAACAGTGAAAGAGCTGAAAGAGATGGAGAAACTCAAGCTGAGGAGTGAACTTAGGGCTCCTCCACTGGACATCAGTGGCAACATCCTACCCCCTCCACACTTCAAGAAGTAAGCTCAGTCCCTCCTCAGGGATCCACAGAACCACCCCGTTCTGGCGCCCCCTTCTCTCCATTCCTGTTTCTGGTACCTAACTTGGTACTCTAACCTCCCCACTCATGGTCATCCATGCCTGCTTTCTTTTTTGTTTTTTAATTCTTCATACAAGCATTTTACAGTTTTATTTTTAAATCGTTTACATATATGCATACAAAGGAAAATAAATTTCAGGATGGAACCTTGGGACCATGGTAGTTTAAAAAACAAAATCTCTGATCATTAGCTACTGAAGACAAGGCAAGAGGCTTAGCAGTCATTTCTGGGAGTTCGTTTGTCTCCTGATGGAGAGAACAGGTGAAGAATCCAGCTGCTCCCTCAGCGTCCCTTAATCTTCACCTTGTAGAAGTAATATGAGCAGAGGGGATTTTTCAATGCTATCCCCTAGAAACATTTCAAGAAGGCTTACGATTAACACTGAGCCCCCTCTTTGTTAGGAATTTGGCAAGACTGTAACTTCTGAACCAATTTACTACAAGAGTTAGTTAATTCCTACTTATAGGTCTCCCAAAGAAGGGGGCACTGCAACACTCACTGTACCCGCTGTTCTTCCACCAAAGGCCTCAGGACAGATCCCATCTAATGCTCTGGGCTCATTCCACACGAGCCTCCCTCCCAGCCTTTGCCTACTCTGCAGCGACTAGCTCTGGCCCTGAGGACTTAGGATAACCCATGAGCATCTACTGCATCAGTGTCCACACACAGAAAATCTCAGCTCACTCCGAAGAGTGGCAGAATTACAAGTGCCTCCAAAGCTCGGCGCTGTGGTGCTACGTCAGTCTTTCAGTTGAACAGGCCAACTCCTAATGCATTTATCCCAGATGCTCAGGAGAACCTCCTACACTCAGCTGACCAAGGAAGATGGACTGTTACCAGTTCCCAGTAAGAGTGGGGCAAGGAGAGACATCACAAATATGGTAGACCCTGTCAGAAGTGGCAGCTGATGACAACAGTTTCCCTATATCATTGGGTCCTACCCAAAAAAGCAGCACCAAGGAAGGGCATGATGAGCAGAGAGATCTGTAGCTGGATGTACAGTCCTTGAATTACCAAGGGACATAGACAACAGCTCATTCCCTACAATTATGTAGGATCTAGAACACAGACTGTGCACCCTACACTGAGGCAGCTCCTGAGAGGTCCTACCGCTTATGGTCATCAGCCCACCCCCTTGGTAGGCCCATTGGAGGAGAGGGAGTCACACTCAGTGCGGGGACCCCTTCAGGCAGACACTCATAGGGCAGCCCATCCCACTGTCAGTGGGGCAGGCCAAATAGCTAGCAGGGCAGACAGATCCGGAGCATCCGCCACCCCATAGGCATCACTCTGACCTAACATAGACAATGCCAAATGCAGAGTGCTCCAGATGTTCTGACACAGCATCACCCTCACCCCGAGGGCCCCAGCTCTTCCTCTGCATGTTCAGGGCCTCAAGGTGAGCCCCAAGGTTGGTGTAACTGATGCCCAGGTTATAGCGAGACCGGATATAGCCTGGCTGCAGCTCAAGGGCTCTGCGGTAAGCAGCTACTGCCTCTTCACACTGGTTCTTGTTGGCCTGAGTGGCCCCACACTTGTTACATAGCAAATAGTCATTGGGATGAACACAGGGCATCTGTGAAACAGTCCACGGCCTTTTCATACTCGCCTCTCAGACTGAAGAAGACTCCCAAGCCACACTGCACATCAGGGTCAATGGCTGTAGGGTCCAGATGTAGGCATCTGCAACTCTATAGCTGACTTGGTTAGTTCAAATTCCATATCAAGGGCAGAGAACTGGTCAACCCAGGCTTCTGATGTGTCCTCAGAGTTAACCAATTTGGGGTCTCCACCTTGGCCACAAAGTCTCTGACTGTGTGCTGCAGATCCTCCTCAGGATGATATTCACCATACCAGCGATCAGTGGGAGTGGTTCCCTCCTGCTCTCCCAGCCACAGCTTCTCAGACTGTTTCAAATATTCCTCAGCCCATCGGGCAAGGAACACCAAAAAGGGGTCTGTAACTTCAGCGCTGAATTCTTGGGACCAGTCAGTCTCATCATAATCTAAACTCCTGGGCCCAGTCCTCAGACAAAGCCAAGTCTGCCACACCAGGGGCAAATTTGACTGTTTAATCTCCTGCATCTCTGCCAAGAGGTCATCTAGTTTGCAGGTCTGAAGGACTCGGGATACAAGGGGTACATTCTGGTCCTGCAGGAATTCTGCTGCCACCTTGTCTTCAGAGCCTACTCCCAAAGGCTTGGAGACCATCTCAGCAGCTGGGGCTCCCGGGGCGCCAGGGGCCAGGCCTAGTCCCTCCTGCCTCAGGGCCTTGTCCTGGGTGAAGTGGGTGGCCAGCTTCATAAGTGGGTTGGCACCCCCAAATTCTCCTTCCACTAGCTCCTGCATTGCAATAGATACCACCAGCTCTTTGAGCCCCTTCCTGGCTGCTCCGGGGCCCAACGCTGCAACCTTCCCCCTTCCCCACCTCCAGGAGCCCGATGCTCCGATCCTGGCCCAGAATTCACTCCCACCCATCCAAGCTTTCTTCCTTCCACCCTTGCTAGAATCCATGGCCTTGCAAACATTAAACAAGTGTTCTACCCAAATTGAGCTTCACCCCCAGCTCCACCTCTGCTTTCTGAATGTAGGTGGCAGGGATGGGGTGAAGGCAGGTGCTCTTCATCATTTAACTAAACATGCAGGGAGGGACTGTGCAGTTAAGATCTGCTTGGCCAAGGGACATTGAGAAATGTAATTCAGCCCCTGCCTTCAAAAATATTTGAAGAGACAGCTATGAAAACCAGACTATATCTACAAATCACCCAAAGTGCCTGGGTGAGAGAGAGTGGGTGTCTTAAGGAATTCCATTGTGATACTCATTTGGTTGAGGCACAGCCTCACTATGTAGCCCAGGCTGGCCTTGAATTCTCCTGTCTCCACTTCCTGAGTGCTAGAATTACAGACATAAGCCACTAGGCCTGACTGTCATTCTTTTCCATTCTTTTTTCAGTTTTTTACAGTTTTGGGATTTTTAAAAATATTTTACTTATTGGGGCTGGAGAGATGGCTCAGCGGTTAAGAACACTGACTGCTCTTGCAGAGGACCCGGGTTCAATTCCCAGCACCCACATGGTGACCAAGAACCGTCCTTAACTCCAATTCCAGAGGAATCCGACACCCTCTTCTGACCTCCGCGACGTTGCACAACTCGGGTGCAGTCACATACATGCAGGCAATACAGTCGTACACATAAAATAAAAATAATAAAGAAAATATCATTTATTATTTTTATTTTATGTGTATGCGTTATTTATTATTTAGTTAGTATATGTCTGTGGGCTCTTCTTTTCTTTGAAACAGAGTGTCGCATGTAGCTGCAATGGTCTGGAGCTACCCATGTAAATCAAGCTGGCCTCAGATTCACAGAGCTCTACCTGCCTCTGCCTCTTGAATGCTCAGATTAAAGGTGAGCCTCACTCTGTCTCTCTCTGTCTCTGTCTCTCTCAACAAAAGAACACACATTTATTACATGCATAAGGCTTGGAAGTTTTAAACCCTAATACTTTTTTTTTTTAGTTGTAAGATGGATGTGGTTGCATACACCATTAATCTCAGCATTCATGAGGCAGAGTGAGATAGAGCTCTGTGAGTTCAAGGCCAGTCTGATCTATATAGCATATTCCAGGCCAGCTGAGATTACAGGGAGACCCTGTCCCAAAACAAAACAAAATTATACTTAATTATTTACTTATTTTTAAGTAGAGTCTTATGTAGCCCAGGCCAACTTTGAACTCAAGCCTGGTGTTAAACTCCTGATTCACGTGCCTCCATCTCCCAAGTGTGAGGTTTACAGGTGTATACGCCCACGCCCAGCCAGCAAAGTCCATCATTTACGGAGAAAGCAGAAATGGAAGCTGGGGCCAGAATTAAGTCCAGAGAGTATCACTTTGGTAAGTAGCTTAGTTGCATCAGACTCTGTCATCATTGGTAAAGTGGGCATCATAAATACCTACTTCAGTGGGCAGGTATAAAATGGGTTGTGAGCATGTAAAGGAACTGAACCAGGGGCTTAGAGTGCAGTTCAGGGTAGAGTAGAGGTGCTCAGCATGGGCAGGGCCCTGGGTTCTAATCCTCTATACAGGAAAGGAAAGAAAGGAGGGAAAAAGAAATTGTACCTGCACACACATGTACACATCACATACACTTGTACACACATGTATATGTCAATTTTACTATTTTTATTTTATGTGTATGAGTGTATTGCCTGCATGTAAGTGCATCTGTGTTGTACAATGTCCTTGGAGATCAAAAGAGGGTATCAGATCTCCTGGAACTGGAGTTACAGATGGCTGTCAGCCATGATTTGAATGCTGGGGACCGAGCCCAGATCATCTGCAAGAGCAGCCAGTGCTCCTAACTGCTAAGCCATCTCTCCAGCCCATAATTTTAAAAAATATGATGGCAAATGTTTTAGATTAGTCACCCTGGGGATGCTGATTTTTCTCCTGTTCTTCCATGAAGACTATTGGTGACTAATGTGTGCTACACTAAGCATCTTCAAAATGATTCACATGGGACATGGTGGTGTATGCCTGTAGTTCCAGCACTTGGGGGAAACTGAGGCAGGAGGATAAGGAATTCAAGGCCATTTTTTTTGTTACACAGTAAATTTGAGGCCAGTCTAGACTACATGAGACCCTGTCTCAAAAAAAAGGGGTGAGGGAGTGGTGGTGTGTGGTGGCTGGGGATAAAGCTCCATTGGTAGAATGTTTAGCTAGTTTGCATGAAGCTCTGGGTTCAGTCCTTTGTACCACATTAACTAGACATGGTCTGGACTACATGAAATTCTATCTTAATCCTATTTTAATCCCTGGGATCCTCTGAGTAGAAACTTACGGTCTCACACACGTTAGGCAAGCTTTCCACCACTGGGCTCTATTATCCTGGGGGACTTTTGAAAACAGCACAGGGGCTGGGGGCATGGCTCAGCAATATAGTTTCTTGTCTAGCATGCAAGAGGCCCAAATTTCCATCCCTGCACAACACACACATACACACACACACACACAGAGAGAGAGAGAGAGAGAGAGAGAGAGAGAGAGAGAGAGAGAGAGAGAGAGAGAGTTAACAACAAAACAAAACGTTCCCCAGCATGATTCTCTTGAGTAATCACAACTGAGAACCTCTCTCAAACCAAGAGCAGAACAGGAACATCTACAAAACCAGTCACAAAGCTATTGAGCCACAGAAAATCTGCTACTGTTCAACTGTGTTTGTTGTTCGTTTAAGTGAATTTGCTCCTGTTCCATTTAATGCTACAGGCTAACAAAGAAGAGGAAGTCATTCTCTAAACTGAATTCAGTGGTCTTCCCACCTGCATTAGTGGAGAAGAGAAGACAAGAAGGAACAGTTAGAGTCTAACTAAAAATCCCATAATGGAGCCAAGCATAATAATGCACACTTGTGACCCCAGCACTCTGGAGGCAGAGGCAGGAGGATTTCAAGATGGAGGCTAGCATGGAATATATACTGGATGGAAGGAAGAAAGAAGAAAGAAGGAAGGGAGGGAGGGAGGGAGGAAGGAAGGAAGGAAGGAAGGAAGGAAGGAAGGAAGGAAGGAAGGAAGGAAGGGAGTAGGTAATCAGGTTGCAGGTGTAGTTCATGATGGAGTATTTGTCTAGCACATGTAAGGCCCTGGGTTCCATCCTCAGCACCACACACATATCTAAAAGAATCTGAGTGCTATTCTGTACAATTGTCAAAGGATGAAAGGTGCACAGCTAGACAGTATGACTCACCTTATGCCCCAGCACACAGCTAGGATGCAGGACATTTGGCACAGATCCACATCCAGTGAGGAAGAGGTGGAAGGGAGCCCTGTAGACTAATCCCCAGCTAGCTGGGGGGAGGTGTCACCTGTCCTTCCCACCCCTCCCCACCATGCCTGGCACCTTCTCTTGACCCTCCTGTCTCTGAACCCATTTCCCAACAGGTCACAGCACATATCTGCTGGTGGAAGGCTTGAGCACCTCCAGCTTCTTCCCAATCCACTTCACAATACTTTCACCAAGAACTGGCCCTGCCCAAATCCTGTGCCTCATTACCAGGAGAAGGTACTGAAACTGGCCAGGCTGCCCAGTATACCCCTGAGCAAAGACCTTGTGAAGGACTACCAAGTCCTGATAAAGGATCAAATCGCCTTGCCTCTCTACTACCAGTCCAAGGTCCAACGTGAACAAAGAGGAAGAGGAAGCGACGACCTGGATGTATCTAGAAGAGCCTCCAGCTGTGGGGAGACTACAGTAGGCTCCAGGGTTGTCAGCCAGCCCTCTTCAGCAAGAAGCCTTGGGAGGCCGAGGACTCTGGCTTTTATAGAACAGATTTTGGGCAGCATCCAGCCTCAAGTCACCTCTGTATCAGGCTCCTGGAAACACTGATTCCAAATTGTTCTGTGTTTTCCTTGGAGGACTCAGTAGGGTGGGAAGACTGGGGCAGGGAGAGGGGGTAGGGTAGTTGGAATAGCTGGAAATTCCAGCTCTTAGGGATATAAAAAGGAATGGGAAAGGTAGGGGTGTGTGTGTGTGTGTGTGTGTGTGTGTGTTTTGGTGTGAGGAAGAGGTATAATAAGAAATGTGGGTAAGAAGTGAGCTGGGAACATAGCTCAGGGGTAGAGCACTTGCCTAGCATGTGTGAGGTCCTAAGTTCGATTCCAACTCTCTCTCTCTCTCTCTCTCTCTCTCTCTCTGTCTGTCTCATAGTCTCCACTCTCAGAATTAATATACAACGAAACTGGAATTGGTCAGGGTACAGAAAGCCTCTTAGGCAAAAGAAACCCAAAAACCAAAACAAACAAAAAACCTCAGTGCCACCTCTTCCCTGGACTGTTTGATATCTGGACCAAGAGGAGAGTCAGGCTTGAAGAAGGTAGGCATTTCTCAGCAGGAACATTCAAGGTGAAGCGCAGAGCAGTCTGACCTGAAGGCCTGGGCCTGGGCTATGGCTGACTCAAGAGACCTCAGCTTTGGCTCTGGGGAGTTAGAGACAAGGCTTGAAGCGGAGGCAGGTGAAAGGCAATAGTCAGGTGTCAGCCCTGACTCAGGGACAGGTAGCAGGGGTCCTGCAAGAGGCCTGGTATAGAGAGGGTCAGGGGTGGATGGCTAGAGAGAGAGACAATTTGATTAGTGGGGGTTTTCCCTTACCTCCTTTCCATCACATCCCCAGGTGGCCTTCTGCCTTCTTTGCCCTCTGGCCTTTCTGTCCCCATTTTTGTTAAACCTCACAGGCACCTGGGGCTCAAGACACCACAGATCTGCAGCGCTGGCTTAACTAGCCACTTACTAGCTGTGAGAACTGTGGAAAAGTCACTGTTCCCCTCCAGCTTTTTGCACAAAAGGGAGCCACTGGGCTATAAATAACTGGATTGAATAAAATAATGTAGGTGAAGTTCTTGCCAAGTACTGGCACAGTGTAGGCCTTCTATAAAGGAATCTACCCATCATTGTTTATAGAATAAGGTAGCAGAATAATATTCATTCATAACAACAGTGGAGTACCGAGAGGCACAATGATGAAGATGCAACTCAAAAATACTATGCTGGGGTCTGAAGAGATGACTTGAGGTTAAGAGCACTTGCTGCTCTTGCAGAGGGTCTGGTTCAGTTCCCAGCACCCACACAATGGCTCACAACTATCTCTAACTCCAGTTCCAGGAGATCTGTCGCCCTCTTCTGGCATCCTCAGGCACTACATGCACATAGTGCACATACATGCAGGCAAAATATTCATATATATTCTAAAACACAAAAAACAAAACCTCAGTTATTAAAGAAAAGGCTTGACATGGTGGCACATGTATTTGACCCCAGAACTCAGGAAGCAGAGGCAGGCAGATCTCTGTGAGTTCTAGGCCAACCTGATCTACCTAGAGGGTTCCAGGCCCCCTAGGGCTGCATAGTGAAACCCTATCTCAAAACAAAAACAAAAGCAAAAACAAACACCATAAAGAGAGAAGCCAGAAGCCAGGCAGAAAAGGCCATGTGCTATATGATACCACATGTATGAGTTGTATGAGGTCTTGGGATTTTGACAGAAAGAATAGAGAAACCAGGGAGCAGGAGTTACTGTTGAATGAGTACAGAGTTTCTGTTGAGATGACGACAGATAAATTCTGGAAGCAGATAGTGGGCGAGGACAGTATAAGATGGTGAAAATTCTTACTGCCTGATTCATACAGTTATAAATGGTTAAAATGGTAAACTATATCTGTGTATATTTCCATAATAAACTTTTAGCTTTTTAAAAATCTATTGAGAATTTCATACATGCATATAAGGTGTTTTGATCAAATCCACACCCACTCCCTCTCCTCCAACACCTCCCACCACTTTTTTCTGACAACTTCGTATACTCTTTCTTCCTTTCTTTCTTTCTTCTTTTTTTAAATGGGGTTTTTTTTTTTTTTTTTTTGCTACTCTAACATCCCCCCCCCCTCTGAAGCGGTAACCCTAAAATCTTTTAGGGATTAGATAAGAGCTCCCAAATACTTTTGTCATTTTGGCCTTTGGAACAGAGTACGTTGCTAAGAGGCCCAAGGACATTTTGACTTTTAGCCAAGAAACTGGCTACTTCTCTTTGGAGTCTTTTTACACTAACTGCCTAGCCATTTCCTACCTCCTGTTCTTATCATACCATTCTCTGAAGAGGTTACTCAGCTTGCAGATAGGGAATCGGGACGCAGACCACTCTGGCTTCTTCCATGCTGAACAGGGAGGGACTCAGGGTGAGGCAATTGTGGTACCCCTTCAGTGGGTCTATCTAAAAGACTCCCAAATTGCATAACCCTTATCTGTAGGGAGAAAAGAAAGTCCTTGACTGGTGAATAGGGGATGTGAAGGAGAAGTAAAGGCAAGAGTAATTAGCATTACAAGTTCTAGACTGGGAACTAGAAAAAAGTCAGAACAGCGCAAATTTCAAATGTTCACATCAGAGTCCACTGGGATTTCTTGATGACAGCTTCTAAAAGTATCCCTCTATTGGGTTCCTCCTCATTTTTCTTTTGTCTGCCAAGGCTGGACTCGAGAGTGATGAACTTAGGATTTGTTTTCAGGCACTTTGATAGCTGTTGGAGAGGCTAGAATCAGTGTCGGTTCTCCCTCAAAGGCTTCATCACGTGGGGGCAGCATCCAGGTGCTCTCAGGTGGTCTCCTGAGTTCTCAGCCCCTATGCCAGAGGGAGGCCTGGAATAGGCACTCCACAATAAAATTTTTGAAAAAAGAAATGATTACTGATTCAACATAGATCAGACTTGGAAACATGCTAAATGAAGGCAGGGGGATACAAAAGGTCACGTGTTGCTTGCTAGGATTTAAGTCTGGTTTGAGTGTGTCCCCCAAGAAGTCATGTGTTCCAGGTGTGGTCCTTGTGTGGCATTATGAGAGGCAGTGGAACCATTTACAGGTGGGGGCCTAATGGGAGGCTCTAAGCTTGCAGCCCCTCCTCTCAGAATAAATTAATGCTGTTCTCACAGAGTGAGTGAGTGATTGTCAAGAAAGCAAGTTGTGGGGCTGGAGAGATGGCTCAGTGGTTAAGAGCACTGGCTGCTCTTGCAGAGAACCTAGGTTTGATTCCCAGCACCTACATGGCAGGTAATAACTGTCTATAACTCCAGTTCTAGGGAATCTAATACCCTCTTCTGATCTCTGCAGGCATTGCATGACACATACATGCAGGCAATACACTCATACACATAAAATAAAAATAATACTTTTTTAAAAAGAAAGCAAGTTGTTATAAAAGAGTGAGGCTGGCCCTCTCCCCTCTCTGGCTTCCATATTGCCGTATGCATTCTCTCTCACATGTGTGCCCTGATCATAGTGTTTGAATCAGTTAATCAGTCCTCACCAGAGTAAAACATATCAGCACGCCATGTTCTTTTTATTTTTAATTTTCCATTTATTTATTGTGTGTGTGCACTATGGTGCACATGTAGTGGTCAGAAGACACCTTGTGGGAGTCTATTCTCTCCTTCTACCATATGGGTCTCAGGGATCAAACTCAGGTCATCAGGTTTGGTGGAAAGTGCCTTTATCTGCTGAGCACCTCACTGGTCTTGAATCTCTAAAACTATGTCTTAATATACCTCTCCCTGTCCCTCTCCTCCCCTTGTCTTTTCTTCCCTCCCCCCCCACTTCTCTCCTTTATCTTTCTTTTAAAAAATATTTTATTATTTTTATTTTATGTGTATGAGTGTATTGGCCTGCATGCATATAAAAACACCTGTGTCCTGAAATGCCCATGGAGGTCAGAAGAGGGTATCAGATACCCTGGACGTAGCCACCATGTGAGTGCTGGGAATCGAACCTGGGTCCTTTGCAAGAGCAGTCAGTGCTCTTAACCGCTGAGCCATCTCTCCAGCCCTGTCTCTCCTTTATCTTTCAACAGCTTCTCACTGTGTAGCTCAGGCTGGCCTAAAACTAGTGATCCTCCATCCTCAGCCTCCCACATCCTGGGATTGTAAGTGTGCCACTGAGACTTTTGAGAGCAACCTGCCTACTCTCTGTCTTAAGCTAGGGGAGAGCAGAAAGGAAGTTCTTTAGACCTCTAGCTTGGAAGACACGAACCACCCCAGAGACTCCTAGCCTCAGTGAGGATATCTTCCCCACTCCCTTCCCATTCTGGAGTTGCTGAGTGGGGGGAGCTAGTACATTATCAATGTTAGAAAATAGGAAAGGAGGGAGGCAAGGAACTGACTTTAACAGATAGGCAGAAAATAAACACAAGAGGGCACCTCCTTAGGGCCCAGGATCGGAAGGAGAGCCTCTCTTACAGACTCAGGGTCTTTATGTTTTTTTCCTTCAGGAAGTGCCCGGTGGTTGGGATTGTGTCATATCGGGGAAGGTTGCTGAAGACTGGTTTGTGCCATATCTGGAGGAAGCAGAGGGTGGTAATCAAGTGAGGTGCTGGTCACTGGTCAGAGTGTAATATTTCTCCTTTAATCAGGGCTCTATTGTCTACTGGCCAGCCAAGGATACAGAACCTGGACTCCTGAGGCTCCTGCATTCCAGTGGGTTGTGGAGACCTGAGGGGTGATGGCAACCCTTCCTGTCCCGGGCCTGCAGCCTCTAGGAAGGTAACTCCTTGCTCAGATTGCTATACATCCAGTTGGCAACCACACACACTTCAATTCCTGCCTCCATACACTAATGAATATGGAGTTCTTGAAAGTTGAGCTGGTGAGCTGGGAGGCTGTGGGAGGGTGAGCCCAGTGGTAATAAT